AAATAATAATAATAATAATAATAATAATAATAATAATAATAATAATAATAATAATAATAATAATAATAATAATAATAATAATAATAATAATAATAATAATAATAATAATAATAATAATAATAATAATAATAATAATAATAATAATAATAATAATAATAATAATAATAATAATAATAATAATAATATCCCACCGTCTCATTATCCCACTCTCCACTCCAAACGTTCCACTTTCCAAGCAAACCATTAATTTGACAACTTCTATAATACTAACGGATTGGGAGATAAATTAGGGAGATAAATTAAGCATTAAATTTGGAGTTAACACTATAAAGGGCATAAATGGTATAAATTATAAATAAAAAATGAAAAACAAAAAAAACTCCTATTCTGGCCTGCCAGATTCTGGCCATTTAGCATTGTCCTTTTCAAAATACATAGTATAATTTTACAATATATCTTGTAATTCCATAATATTACTTAGGTTACATTTTATATGAAAAATATAAATATCGAATGGTCAGGTAAATTTAAACCTTAGAAAATATTCAGGTTTATAACCGATACCGTTATGGCGGCCGATATATCGACCGCCACGACCGCTATTTCGAACACTGGAAAATATTAGTTGCTATCAAGAAAAATTATGTTGCATTTTTCCTTATAAGAAAATCTATGTTTCAATTTGTTGTTCCGACATTTGTTTTTATTTATTGCATTTTGTCGAACCCTTTTTTGAATTTTCTTGCATTTTCCTGCAAAATATAAAAAAAAAATAGAAATATATTGCGAAAGTATTCATTATATCCGAATTTAGAACAATAGGTTACAAACTAATGTAATTTCCGAAATTTTCGAAATTCCGCCGATTCCAAGGTATTTCGAAATCGGAATGAATTTTTGCATTCCGATTTTTTGAAACGAAAACTGGAACTGATTTTATACTTCCAAAAAGTTTTTGAAATTTTCCTCCTTGGACGCCTCAGATCCAAACCATAAATTGCCTCCTTGGACGACTCAGACCAACGTTATAGTGCAGTTGTGGAAATAGAGAGAAACAAGGTCAATTTTTTCAGACAGTTACAAAGATACATCAATTGTTCGATTTGGCTAAGAAATCGAACAGGGGTTTGCTTCTTTTCATCAACGAAGCAGATGCATTCTTGTGTGAGTAAGTAAAAAATATTTTAATTAATCATACACATAATAAATATTAATAATTAATATAAATAAGAATGGATGAATGGAATACAATACACATAATACAATAATACAATACACATAATACAATAATTTTGAGTGATGAATAGACGATCGAAATAGAACAAGGATAAAATTGACCTTGTTTCCTTCGATTCTTACTTAATGTGGATGTTTCCCTAATGACGTCGTGGTATATTTTACCATGTAGAAAAATATTACCATCAATACCCATCCTTTTGAGCAAATTGAGTTATGATTGAATGTCTTACATAGTATTATAATTCATTATTGATTTTTTTATTTCTCTGTTTTTCAATCATAAAAATGGGGATATCTTGTGTACAAGAGATGCATTACTTGGATTTTTGAAGACAATTAAATATCTCCATTAATTGGTCAGTTTGATGATTTTTTTTTGATAAAATTGCTAAAGGGGAGAAAAAAATTTCGGATTTTCAGCGAACCAGGAACCAAAAGTGAATTAAAAGAGTGGGTTAACATTTTTTGTAATTATTTTTTATTTGTGATTAGTAGTGGATTATACTAATTTGTTGTGGAATATGAACATTTTTAGTATTTTTTCGTTACGTTTGTAGCGGATTATATTAATATTAAAGTGAATTACGTTAATTTTATAGTGATTTTTGATAATTTATTAGTGATTTTGAATTAGTATATAGTGGTTTTCAATATCTACGAGTGTGTAGAAGATTTTATTTTTTCGATGTTTTGTTTTCTATAATTTCAGGGAGGCGTCGGTGGCCATGGGAGATGGAAGACGATATAGGGTCGGGAATAGTGGATTTCATTTTTCTGTGTTTTTGATAATTTAATAGTGATTTTGAATGAGTATATAGTGGTTTTCAATATCTACTAGTGTGTAGAGGGTTTTATTTTTTCGATGTTCTGTTTTCTGTAATTTCAGGGAGGCGTCGGTGGCCATGGGAGATGGAAGACGATACAGGGTCGGGAATAGTGAAGTTCGTTTTTTGTGTGTTTTTAGTGGATTACGTTAATTTGTAGTGCATTATGTATTTTTCGGTAAGTTTGTAGTGTATTACATTAATATTAATGTAGATTACGTTAGTTTTATATTACTATTTACTTCAATTTCATAGTGGTTTTTGATAAATTTGTAGTGGTTTTGGATAAGTTAATTCGTAGTGCATTACGTAGATTTTGGTAAGTTTGTAGTATATTATATTAATATTGATGTAGATTACGTTAGTTTTATATTAATATTTACTTCAATTTCATAGTAGTTTTCGATAAATTTATAGTGGTTTTTGATAAGTACGAAGTGGATTTCAAAATTTAAAAAATTGAAAGAAGATAAAAAAAATTAAAAATAACCAATTTTTGTTTAATTCGAAGTAAAGAAAGTCTTTTAAAAAAAATTAAAAAGAAAAAAGAAAAAGAAGAAGAAAAACTAGAATGACGTGAGATGGAGATGAGATGGAGAGAAATTTGGGGGATTTGAATATTTAAAATTGATTTTCCTTAATGATATATGATAACTTTTAGTAATCTTAAATAGGGGTATTTTAGATAATTGAAATCAATTGGATTTATCACAAATATCAATAAAAAAATATGAATTTATCATGAATTCAAAATTCAATGAGGGGTTTTGGCAAATAGCCCCTATTAATTAATACAACCTAGATAAAACACTACATTTTTTTTTTGGGAGAAAACATTAGATATTGGGTTGTTAAAAATAGTTTATAACATGATTAAGAGCTTATAAGCTTTTAACAGTGTTTGGAAACTATTTTTTTCATAAAAAATCTTAATTTTTTGGGCAGATGGCAAATAGGCCCATGACAAGAAACTTAAATGCACATAGGTCCAGATAAAATAAACTTAATTAGAGATGCGTGATGCAAATAAATCCATTCACATGTCTTTTGTCTAAAATACCCTCCATAATATAATTTTTATCAATTCCGTTCATTGCACTCTAACTTTATCAATATTGCACATTGACCACACATTTCAACAAATATATTATTAACCCCATTTTCATAATTTTTGAAAAAATATTTTTTTTAAGAAAATAATATTTTTTTTAAGAAAATAATATTTTTTTTCTGAATTTTTTTACCGGCTAAATTCGGGAGTTGATTTTTTTTTTTTGAAAACCTTTTTTAGTCTGAAATATTCCGGCCGGTCAACCGCCGTTGACCGCAGGTCTCCGGTATTGACTTTCTCTTTTTGAAACTTTTTTCTCTCTCTAAATTACCGTGTTAACAACAAATTTATTATCTGAGATAGTAATATTGAATCCAAAAGAGTAATATTACTAATATTACTGTTTACTGTCTCGAACAGTAATATTACGAATATTACTTTCCCAAAAAATAACATTACTAATATTACTGCCCCAAACACTAATATTATTGCATGAGAGAGTAATAATACGGTCGAAGTCCACAAAATTGTAGGCCAAGACGATAAAATTAATTAATACAGTAAAAATTACCGACTCAGACAGTAATATTATAGTCTCACAAAGTTAAGTTACTGTCTCCAACAGTAATACTAATTAAAATAATTTTTCAAAAAAGAAAAAAAGTCAACGCCAGAGACCGGTGGTTGACCTGCCGTAAAAACAATTAATAAAATAAAAGTCAACGCCGGAGACCAGCGGTTGACCTGCCAAGAAAAAAAAGTTATCAAAAAAAAATTAATAATAATAAAAAGTTAACGCTAAAGACCGACGATTAACGACAGCTAACTGGCGGTCTCCGACGGTGGATGTCAAAATTGGTGTCAAAATTGGAACAAGGGGTTAAAATTGGTTAATGTGTGAAATTCTAAATTGTGGTGTAATGATGTCATGAAATTGGAGTTAAATTACGGTTTCTAGTAGTTGGGGGTAACTTTGGTATATATAAAAGTATTTTCCTTATTTGCAAATAAGTTTGAATGAGGTGGATTTACTGGCAAGTCAAAAAAGTTGGATGCCCCATTTTCTAATTAAGTGCTCT